GAACTCAATGGGACCCACATCAAGACATTATGATCAAACTGTAGAAAGACAAAGACAGAATTTTAAAAGCAGCAGAGAGAAGCAACTCATTACATATATGGAATCCTCAAAAAGATTATCAGCAGATTTCTCATATGAAATTTTGGAAACCAGGTGGCAATTGGCTGATATATTCACAGCGCTAAAAGAAAAATACTGTTAACCAAGAATCCTATATCCAGCAAAACTGTCCTTCAAAAGTGAGGGACAGGGCCTGGCTGGTTAGCTTAGTTGGTTAGAACATGGTGTTGCAACACCAAGATCAAGAAATAATAAAGATTAGAGCAGAGGTAAATGAAATAGAGAACAAACAAATAATAGAGAAAATTCACAAAATCAAAAGTTGGTCTTCAAAAATATCAACAACACTGACAAACCTTTAGCTAAATGGCAAAAAAAAAAAAAAGATCAGGCTTAAATTACTAAAATCAGGGCCAGCCCATGGCTCGCTCAGGAGAATGCAGTGCTGATAACACCAAGGCCATGGGTTCAGATCCTATATAGGGATGGTCAGTTAGCTCACTGGTCAAGCATGGTGCTAACACCACCAAGTCAAGGGTTAAGATCCCCTTACCGGTCATCTTATAAAAATTTTTTAAAATAAAATAAAATCAGAAATGACGATGGGGATATCACCAATTCTACATAAATAAAAAGGATAAAAAGAGTATTATGAGCAATTGTACACCAACAAATTGACCAACCTAGATGAAATGCACAAATTCCTAGAAACACAAAACCTATGAAGACACAAAGAAATAGAAAATCTGAATAGACTTATGCTAGTAAGGAGAATGAATCAGTAATTAAAAATTTCCCAACAAAAAAGTCCCAGACCTAATGGCTTCACTGGTAAATTTTTCCAAACATTTAAAGAACTAACATTAATCCATCTTGAACTTGTCCAAAATACTGATGAGGAGGGAACACTCCATAATTCATTTTACGAGGCCAGTATTACCCCCAAAACAAAGCAAGATAGAGACCCTATAAGAAAACTACAGACTAATATAACTTACAAACACTGATGTAAAAATCCTCAATTAAAACACTAGCAAACTGAATTCAAAAGCATATTAAGAGGATTGTAAACAATAAGCAAATGAGATTTATTTCTGGAATGCAGGATGGTTCAACACATGAAAATTGATCAATGTAATTAATACATCACATTAACAAAATGAAGGGGAAAAAAAAACCACAGCATCATCTCACTTCACACAGAAAAAGCATTTAATAAAATCCAACACCCTTCATGATAAAAACACTTAACAAACAAGGAATACAAGGAAACTACCTCAACATAGTAAAAGCTACATATGAAGAAAAAGAACAACAAAAACAAAAAACCCCACAACAAACATCATACTCAATGGTGAAAGACTGAAAAGTTTTCTGCTAGGATCAAGAACAAGGCAAGAATGCCCACTTTCACCACTTCTTTTCAACATAATACTATAAGTCTTAGAGCAGTTAGGCGAGGGAAAAAAAATCAAAGGCATCTAAATTGGAAAGGAAAAAGTAAAATTATCTTTGTTCACCAACGATATGATCATATATATACAAAACCCTAAAATTCCACAAAAAAAGTTATAACAAATAATTCAGCAAAGTAGCAGGATACAAAGTCAACCCACAAAAATCAGTTTTATTTCTATAAACTAACAAGGAATAACCCAAAAAGGAAATTAAAAAAACAATCCCATTCATAATAGCATCAAAAAGAATAAAATACTTAGGAATTAACTTAACCAAGGAGATGAAAGATTTGTATAATGAAATTTACAAACATTCCTGAAAGAAGCTAAAGACAACATAAATAAATGGAATGACACCCTGTGTTCATGGATTGGAAAACATAATATTGTTAAGATTTCAATACTACCTAAAGTGATCTACAAACTTAATGCAATCCCTACCAAAATTCCACTGACATTTTTTGCAAAACTAGAAAAACCCATCCTAAAATTTATAGAAGTTCAAGGAACCCCAAATAGCCAAAACAATCCTAAAAAATAACAAACCTAGAGAACTCACACTTCCTGATTTCAAAACTTACTGTAAAGGTACGGTAATCAAAACAGTGTGGTATTGGCATAAAGAAAGACATATAGAGCAATGGAATAGAATAAAGAGTCCAGAAATAAAGCCTGGCATACATGAGGGTACTTCAGAAAGTTCGTAGAGAGCCGGCCCGGTGGTGCACTGGAAAGTGCGCCGTCTGGGAGCACGGTGGCGCTCCCGCCAAGGGTTCGGATCCCATGTGGAGACCGGTTCCCGCTCACTGGTTGAGCGCGGTGCGGGCGCAACACCGAGGGTTGCGATCCCTTGCCGGTCCCCAGTGCGGGCGTGACACCGAGGGTTGTGATCCTGTTACCGGTCAGTAAAAAAGAAAAAAAAAAAAAAAAAAAAAAAAAAGAAAGTTCGTAGAAAAATAGACAGTCTTTTTAACAAATGGTACTGGGAAAACTGGATATCTATATGCTAAAGAATTAAGATGAACCCTTACCTAATACCATATACAAAAATTAACTCAAAATGGATCCATGACCTAAATGTAAAGCCCAAAGCTATAAAACTCTTAGAAGAAAATATAGGGAGAAAGCTTTATGACATTAGATTTGGCAATGATTTTTTGGATATAGCACAAATGTACAGGCAACAAAAGAAAAAACAGACAAAGAGCACTTCATGCAAATTAAAAAAAAATTTATAAATCAAAAGACACTATCCACAGAGTAAAAAGGCAACACAATGAGAGGAAATATTTGCAAATTACCTATCTGATAAGGGATTAAACTTTGAAAACTGAAAAACAACAAAATAAACAAACTGATTCAAAATGGGCAAAAGACTTGAATAGACATTTCTCTAAATTGGATACACACACAAAAGAAAAAAGAAAAAAAGAAGATAAAATAAAGAGGATATACAATTGGCCAATAAGCACATGAAAAGATACTAAGCATCACTAATCATCAGGGCAATGACAATCAAAACTATAATGAAATACCATGTCACACCCATTAGGATGGCTACTATCAAAAAACCAAAATAGTAAATGTTGGTAAGGATGTGGAGAAACTGGAAGATTTGTTCATTGTTGGTGGGAATGTAAAATGGTACAGCCACTGAGGAAAACAGTAAGATCATTCCTGAAAAAATTAAAAATAGAATTACCTTATTATCGAGCAACTTCACTTCTGGGTATATACTCAAAAGATCTGAAAACAGGGTCTTGAAGAGATATTTGTACACCCAAAGTTTATAGTAGCATTACCCACAATAGCTAAAACATGGAAGCAACCCAAGTGTCTATTGATAGACGAATGGATAAGCAAATAAAACATTATCCAGCCTTTAAAGGGAATAAAATTCTGACATATGCTACAACATGAATGAACCTTGAGTTTATTACGCTAAGTGAAATAAGCAAATCATAAAAAGTCTAATATTGTATGATTCCACTTATATGAGGTATTTATGGTAGTCAAAATCATAGAGACAGAAAGTAGAATGATGCTTGCCAGGGGCTGGGGTTATTGGGGAATGGACAGTTATTGTTTAATTGCCATAGTTTCAATTTTGCAAGATGAAAAGAGTTCTAGAGATGGACAGTGATAATAGTTGCACAACAATATGAACGTACTTAATACCACTGAATTGTACACTTAAAAATGGTAAAGACAAGGGCTGCCCCGTGGCCCACTCGGGAGAGTGCGGCACTGGGAGCTCAGCGACACTCCTGCCACGGGTTCGGATCCTATATAGGGATGGCCAGTGCGCTCACTGGCTGAGCGCGGTACGGGCGACACCAAGCCAAGGGTTGCGATCCCCTTACCGGTCACAAAAAAGACAAAAAAAAAAAAATTGTAAGGACAAGGGCTGGCTGGTTAGCACAGTTGGTTAGAGCACACTGTTATAATATCAAGGTGAATGGTTCAGATCCTCATACCAGCCAGCCACCAAAAAAAAAAAAGGGTGAAGATAGTAAATTTTATGCTATGTGTATTTTACCACAATAAAAAACTTGGTCAAAATATGGCTCCAATAAAACATGAATTTAAAGACTTTTGTCCTCAATACATGTAGATTTTGCCAGGTTAGCTGAATTAAAACTGCACTGGAAAATTTTTTTAAAAAATCATGATCTAGAGCTGGCCAGTTAACTCAGTTGGTTAGAGCACAGTGTTATAACACCAACGTCAAGGGTTTATAACACCAAGGTCAAGGGTTTGGATCCCCATACTGGCCAGCCACCATAAAAAAGGAAAAAAAGGGCCGGCCCGGTGGCGCACTGCTATGGTGCGCCGCTTGGGAAGCGCGGCGGCGCTCCCGCCGAGGGTTCAGATCCCACATACAGACCGGTTCCCGCTCACTGGCTGAGCGAGGCGCGGGAGCAACACCGAGGGCTGCGATCCCGTTGCCGGTCCCGGTCCGGTACGGGGGCGACACTGAGTGTTGCGATCCGTTGCCGGACACGGAAAAAGACAAAAAAAAAAAAAAAAAACAAAGGAAAAAAAAATCATGATCTAAGTACCCACCTCAAGAAGTTAGAAAAAGACAAAACTGATAGATCACTAGATGCTACAAGAATGACTAGGGATTAAGAGAGTACTCTTCATGGTGCTTTGGAAGAGCCAGATATCTTCTATCTGAGACTGGGAAAGAAACTGAGATTTTATAAGATAAACATAAATAAACGTATTTTATATAAACATAAATACTGGCTCTAGGCCTCACCATCTCTGATAACTAACTACACATGATGTATCTGAACAAAGTTTAACCTGAAAAAGTATTCTCTGAGACCCATCCCAAATATGCATGAGCCTTCTGACTGAAGAAAAAAAAAACTCATCCTGACAAGGCACTCTGACCCCTCAGCCCTGCAAGCCTCTAGGCCTCCCTCTGTGTATCAGCAGTCTGGCACAGGCACGGGACCACCTGCAGTTGCTCACCAGTGTTGCGGATGATGTAATCTAGCACCACCAATCGCTCAAACTGCAGCAGCAGTTGCCGGTTAGTGTTCTCAGGGAGAGGTTCTGCCTCAAAACGCCGCAACCAGTAATCTGCATCTTTGTAGCCTTCGACAAAGAGCTGGAATGAACCAACCTGGAACCAAGAGGAAGGAACAAAAGTTATTTCCCTACAGTCCAAGTCCAGAGACCCCAGGAGTAAGCCAGGTACCCACTAAGGCCCTGTGGAGTCCATATCAGAGAAGAAGAACATTTTCACAATCTTTACTTTTTCATTTGCCTGTAAGTACAGGAGAAAAGGGGTGTGACAGTGATCATCCATCCAAATTAAAGAAACCTATCCAAACGAGTCAGAGGAGTAAAGCGAGAAAGTTAGGTATCTACCCTCTGGAGAATTATTCCCCAAATCTTAGGCTCTTGAAAGAAATGAGGAAGACAGGAGCCTCAGGGCAGGCAATTCATGCGCCCATATTCAAGTCTGTAGGCACCTTGCTTCACCATCTGAATGACTATGTCACTATAATCTGTCACCTTTGATAAGTCACATGGGTGTAGTCTGTACCTTTGGTGGTAGCCCGATGCGGTTAAACCGCTGCCCAACTTTTGGCACTTTCTCTAGTGCAAGCCGCTTGCCCCTGGACTTCACCCGATCAATGGCACTATAGTTGAAGGTATCACTGGCCAGGTATACTACCTACAGTAGAAAGAGAAGAGATATTCAGGTTAAAGTCAAGTTTCAGGAACCAGACCACTATGGCAGAGAACAGTTAAATGCTCACCAATACTGTTCCTCTTCCAGGGCACAGAGAAAGAATGCACTTCTCAGCCTTCCTAGCAACTAGGATAGGGAATATGACTACATGAGTGACATGGGATCTAGTGTTGTCAGCACCATGCTCACCCAGTAAGCTAACCGGCCATCCCTGTATGGGATCCGAACCCAGGGCCTTGGTGTTATCAGCACCGCACTCTCCCGAGTGAGCCACGGGCCGGCTCAGTGACATGGGATCTAGTGTTGTCAGCACCATGCTCACCCAGTAAGCTAACCGGCCATCCCTGTATGGGATCCGAACCCAGGGCCTTGGTGTTATCAGCACCGCACTCTCCCGAGTGAGCCACGGGCCGGCCCAGTGACATGGGATCTAGGAGAGCTGCTTAAATGGCATGAATCTGAAACATGAGCAAGAAATAAACTCCTATGGTATTAAACCACTGAGATTCAAGGATTGTTACAGCAGCAAGCGGGAATTACCTTGACTAATACAGTCGCCTCCTAGGTTATAACAGGCTCGATGCCTATTTTCTTTCCAGATAAAAACAAAAATTGCAATTTACTCTATACCCTTCTATTTCCTTTTGAATTATATACTTTGTGTAATTATTCACATTCCAAAAAATAAACATTAAAATTGGTTTTCATTTTTAATAGATTGCTATATTTATACACAGACTATATCTGGAATATTACACAAGAAACCAGTAATAGTAGCTGCCTCTGAGGAATGAAACTGAGTGGGCAGGAGATAGTGGTGGGAAGAAGGCTGAATTACTTTTCTGTTTACTCTTCTGTGTCTTTTGATATCTGTATTAGATGCATGCACTGCCTATTCAAAATAATTTTTCAATGGGCCATCAATATCACACTTGACTGTCAAATTGCAGTGACATCATCTGTTATGTGTATCTATTATCACACATCACATTTTCTTGTGATTATCCACTCAAATATCTAACTTCCTTCTTAAAACTAATGAGATTTGGGGAAACAGAACATCTTATTCACATTAGCATTCCAAGTACCTAACATAGTGCCTAGCATATGCTCATGAAATATTTATTAAATGAATGAGTGAATGAACGAATGAATGAGCTACCAGCTTCTTTCAGAGATAGCAACAACTGGGTTTTGGCATATAAATACCTAAAATCAAATTTATAAGAAAACTATTTTCTAAGCCTTGCAAATTTCATTACAAATAACTAATTATTTTGCATATGAACTTTAGAGGCAAAATAATTCCCTCCCATCCATTCTTACATCCAGTGTTAACAGGGTATATAAAATGGATGTGAAAGGTACTTCCTGCCTTACAAAACAGAAAACTCAGGTATAGGAATGAAAATAAAAGGGCATTCCTAAGTCTACCTTGCCAGTTTCCACAGTGAAAACCCTGGCTCTCTCAAGCCATAAACCACCCTTTTACCCTCATCAGACTTATTTTTGATCATTCTTACCAGCAAACCACTTTTTGCCTTTGACTAATGAAACTATCATAACCTGAAAGCTCACAAGAACAGACAGCAGAGACCACCAGTGAGTAAGAATTAGAGCCTTACTACTGGAAGCTCCATCTCAGTGTCAGCCCTGTTTCCATAGTGACAGATGCTCCATTAACTGGATAGAGTCCTGTCACAAGGGTAGGGGAGGCAGGGAGGGGAGAGATTCCTCTTACTACTTTCCGGCAGCTATATAGTAAGCTTGCAAAGTTCTGTCTCATCTCAGTCTCTTGGAAGAAAAATATTTTGTTGTTGCTGACTTTTTGATGAAAAAGATCCTCAGGCCTCATTAAGGTTCTCTAACATGTAAAGAGGAAGACTGGAGGGCCGGCCCGGTGGCGCACTCGGTAGAGTGTGGTGCTTGGGAGCGTGGTGGCGCTCCCGCCGAGGGTTTGGATCCCATATAGAGACCAGTCCGCTCACTGGTTGAGCACAGTGCGGGCGCGACACCGAGGGTTGCGATCCCGTTACTGGTCACGAAAAAAGACAAAAAGGAAAAAAAAAAAAAAAAGAGGAAGACTGGAGATGGGAAAGAAAGGAATTGTGGGGTGACATTAATAATTAATAATAATAGCTCATAAAAAGATCACAGACTAACTTGGATGGATTATTTACATTGTGCCAGGCACTGGGCTATGTGCTTTACATGGATTAATCTTGATAGCCACTCTATAAACTACTTATAGCCCTACTCTTACGATGAGGAAATTGGGCCTAGGGTAGTTAAATGACTTGCCCAAGGGTCATACACAAAAAAACTGCAGAGCCAGAACTCAAACTCTTAGGCACTACACTCAGAAGCACCAGCAGATGAAGCAGGCATAGGGCCAGGGGCAGTCTGCTATTTGCCCAGCAAAGGAAAGAAATTACAGAGTGATGAGCAAGGAATATTTAAAAGAGTTTTTAGAATCTAGGAGGGGCCTAATAAGATGACTTCAGGTTAGGCAGGAGACTTAACAGTCTTAATTATCACATAAGATGTTCAAAGTGTGCTGTTTAACTACCTGCACAGAGAGAAAAAATTAAAGCATAAAGGAAAAGAATGAGCTGCACAAAGCCAGGCAATGAATTAGATGTCAAATGGGGACTACAAGCTTGGTCAAACATTCTCTCTATAGATCGGAAGTTGGGGGATCTTTGGTAATATTTCTTGTGATTTTATATTTATTTACTGATTCAGCTGGTACTTAATGAACATTTACTATAGATATAGTACTTTTCTAGGTGCTGAGGACGGTAGAAAGAAATCTCAAGAAGAGGTTTCTGACTTCTACAAACTACAAACTAGTTGGCTTATTGTTTGTGGAGTTTAGTGGCAAAGAAGCAGATACAGTTAAATATCCATAATAATCACACTTTCTTCTAAAATCCCTGGGAAAACAGAAAAAAAAAAACAGGTTTAAAGGGAAGTTCCTATATGCTTATCAATCTCTTTGCCCATAAAATCTATCTAAACCTGTGAAGAAAATATCACGCAGGATTTTTTAAATCTAGATGCATGGTCTCTAGGGGGTCAATGGATGGACTCCAACTAGTCTATGAATCATCCTCCTAAAATTATATGCAAAACTGATTGCAAATATGTGTATTTTTTTTCTGGGAACAGGACCTATACCTTTCATCATATTCTCAAAGAGGGTTAAGACCTAGAGCTATAAACACACTTCTGCAGCTTTAGGGCATTAGATCACTTAAGTTGTTACTAAACCTCAGGTAGCCACATACTAAGTAAGTGATGATGTTTCCTTAAATGTTCATATGCTGACTGGCAGATTCCTTCCCCTCATAACCCTTGGAGAGTGCAACAAAGAAACCCCATCAGTGCCATGTCTAGTGGAACTGTGAGAGCGGAACCGCCACTGAAACCCCAGACCTGTGGAGCTACCAGGGTGCAACGCCAGCCTGTGAGAGCTAAAGCATCACCTGAGACCAGGAAAGCCATGGAAGTGGAACTGACTGAGGACTTGAGGATCCAACCCACACACTAGTGTGCAGAGGACGTTGAACATGGAGTCAAGTTACAAGATTCACCAGCTTTAAGAGTCAATGCATGTCCCACTGGGTTTCAGACTTGTTTGGGACCTGTTATCCCTTTCTTTTGGACTATTTCTCCCTTTTGGAATGGGAATATGTACCCTAAGTTTGTCCCACCATTTTATCTTGGAAGTAGATAACTTGTTTTTAATTCACAGACAGAACTTTGAACTTTGGACCTTTGAGTTGAAGGAGGTTAAGACTTTGGGGATGAAATGAATGTGTTTGCATGTGAAAAGGACATGAGTTTTAGCAGGCCAAGGACGGAATGTAGTGGATTGAATTATGTCTCCCCAAAACTCCCTGAAGCTTGAATTGTGCCCCCCAAGTTTTATGTATCAGAAATTCCACTTGTGTCCTCCAAGTTTTATGTATTAGAAACTTTTATGTATTAGAAACTGTGAGTGTTAAGAGGGTGGAGGATCCAGGATCAGCCCATGGCTCACTTGGGAGAGTGTGGTGCTGATAACACCAAGGCCTCAGGTTCATATCCCTATATGGGGATGGCCGGTTAGCTCACTTGGGAGAGTGTGGTGCTGACAACACCAAGTCAAGGGTTAAGATCCCCTTACTAGTCATCTTTAAAAAAAAAAAAAAAAGAGGATGGGAGATCCTATTATGGTAATTGAAAGGTGGAGCCTTGAAGAGGTGACTGGATTGTAGGACCATGCAGTAGTGAATGGATTAAAAATGGTGGTCAGGGGCATGGTCTGGAGGGCTTTAAAAGAAGAGGAGAGTCTGCCTTTTGCTCTCTCTGCTTCCACCATCTTGCACCCCTGGGTCACTGTCACCACCCCTGGGTCATTGTCACCACCACCAGATGGACTTTGGACTTCCCAGCCTCAGAAACTGTAAGCAATAAATTTTGTTTTCTTTATAAATCACCCGGTTCCATGTAGTTTGTTGTAAGCAACATAAACAGAAAGTTTCATGGACCACCCTGTAGTACAGGGGTTCTTAACCTGGTGTCAGCAAACTCCCAGAAATTGTATGTAATTGATTCTGTATTCAAGCATATTTGGGAGAGTATGGTCCAGACTCTTCATCAGAACTTCAACTAAGTCTATAATACATACAAGGTGTGTGAAAATCCATTCTAAGGGTGAATTTGCCTAGATTTGGGACCTCTATTTTGGTATGTTCAGACAAGTCCCAGAATTCCATAGTACAAAGATAGGTGAGGAAAATCACATGTCAGTTTCCTATAGGGGTTCAGGCCAGACCTTTACTTTAACCCTCACATCATCCTAAAGCTCTCCTCATGAGAACTTGCATACATGCTTAGCTGACATCAGCTAGTCCATTCTACACTGTATCTAAATCCTGCAATGGCTCCGAAGTCTAAGAGAGTGAGCCACAAAAGTAGCTAAGTTTCTAACCAGCTTGGGGTTACCTGGGATCGAAAGACTGAGGGAGCCAATAAATGTACATTAGAGGTCTGTGAACTTGCTGAAATTGTATACAAAATTATATGTGTATCCTTCTGAGGATGGCTTTTATCAGATGATCAAATCATGGGCCTAATCCTGCCACATTCCCCAAAAAAGGTTGAGAATCCCAGACTTAGGGCATAAACGGTCCCCACTGGACGCACAGTCTCACTAACATGTAGCAGGTCTTACACCCCAGGAAAACTCTAGCCAGGCAGTAAGACTCCCCGGAGATGGGTCACCGACCTTCGTACGGGGTACAATGTTGAGTTCCAGTTTTTGGTCCACCAGGCTGGCCCCTGCTTCTGAGAGATAGCCCTGATTGAGGACAAGGCAGTCACGGCCAAAGCAGCAGGGACAGCACAGCTTCTGCAGCCACTTGGTCCACTTAGGATTAAGTTGCCCATATGGTTCTTCATTCTTGGGTTTGAAGACAGCAGTGATCTTCTATACAGACAAAAGAAAAAGAAGACATTAAATGGAGTTGATTAGCGTAGCCCACAGACCAAGTCAGCAGAAATCTAGAAAGAAGTGAGAAGGCATAGTCAGACAATCCCTACTTACAGTCAGACACAGGCTTCTCCCCAGCTTGTACGGGGAAGATACCAGCTCATGTGTGCAGGTAAGAGGCCCACTGCTAGAAAGGGCTGTAGCCAAAGAAAATGTCAAGTCTTCTTGTTCTTCCTTGCTGCTTTACTCCTCTTTTCCATCTCTCTCCCCTCATGTAAGTACCTACCTCTAACTTTGAGCTTCAAACAAACAAGGTAAATGGATTTCTACATTTCTAGGAGCAATATATAGAAACCTACTCAGTGACAGATTTTGGGTCACTGGCAGCAATCCTGTACCAACACAGTACTGCTTCCCCTCCCAGAAAGGATATAACATCACACTGCACTGATTGAGGCCTTTATGATAATCTTTTTCCAAAAAGGTGAGAAATTAACTTGTCGTGAATCATACATTATCTTTTTTTGCAGATATCCCTGCCCCATTTATCCTACAGGACCTTTCTTTATATTATATGCCAGAAATTTAACACCATCAAACTCCAACTTCCAAATACATGTATGCACACTGTTGCTCTGCATCAATTATGTAAAGACTCAAAAAATTATCAACTGAAAGGAAATAAAGAAGGTATTACGGAATGAGTTAGGAAAATGCCTTCGTCAATGGTTGATTTCCTCTATCAGCTTTACTATCCCATCCCCTGGGTGTTTATAAAACCTTGAAATGAAAAGTTTAAGAACGTCAAACTAAAAAAGCAACCAAAGAGAAAAATCACTGCAGGAAAAAGAATCTGCTACCTGGTTAGAATGGGGTTCTCTTAAGTAATTCTGATAGGCAAGAGACCAGGATATAAGATACCACAAAGATTAAATCCATCTTCTCCAGCTGACAGTAACTTAATCCGCAAAAGCCTTTGGAAACATGGGATGCCTAGAAACTACAGCCCTCCCTCCTGAATGTTTTCTTCCACAGGTCAGTCAGCCCTGAGATTGTTTCACATTTATCTCATTCCCTCCAGTCCCCAAACTTCTACATAAAGGAAAAAAAGCAAACATGCTATCCAAGTGATTCATCTTCACATCACATGACTCTCCTTCTCCCCTCACCCCACAGCCAACTCAAGCTAGTCTGGGTCATAAGACATTTTCCTGTGGGTGTCACTTCCTGAATGGCAGATCACAGCAGAAATACATCTCTCTGCCTCCATTAAGTACTCATGTTAGGAACTGGCTAGGTCCATGTCTCTAACAATAATCGGTCAATCTTGAAGCCAGTTCCTTCAAAGAGCCTAGCAAGGATTTGAGAGGGCAAAAGAAATACAGAACTCTCTTCTTCCCTCCAAAAAGAATCGAAAAACAAACTTAATTATTTAGTGGCAAAAGCAAAATGTATATATTCATATCATAAATCTTCAGAATTACTTTCTTATCCAAAGCAGCTAGCAAGAGACCTAAGTTAGCAGTCTTCTTTGTCTCTGCTATCCTGGAACCCTAGCCTCTGAACAACAAAGCAGCAGTAGCAACAGGCTCACAACTCAGGACCAACGAGTCCACTTTAACTCTTGGAACCTGGACAGTGGAACCACAGGGCAGAGGGTGGCCCGTGGCTCACTTCGGAGAGTGTGGTGCTTATAACCCCAGGGCCACAGGTTCGGATCCCTACATAGGGATGGCCGGTTAGCTCACTTGGGAGAGTGTGGTGCTGACAACACCAAGGCTCACAACTCAGGACCAACGAGTCCACTTTAACTCTTGGAACCTGGACAGTGGAACCACAGGGCAGAGGGTGGCCCGTGGCTCACTTCGGAGAGTGTGGTGCTTATAACCCCAGGGCCACAGGTTCGGATCCCTACATAGGGATGGCCGGTTAGCTCACTTGGGAGAGTGTGGTGCTGACAACACCAAGTCAAGGGTTAAGATCCCCTTACCAGTCATCTTTTAAAATAAAATAAAATAAAAAAAAAGAAACCACAAGGCACATTGAAGCATGTCCCAGAACTCAACAGTCAGTTCAACTGAGGCACACTGTGGAGTTCAGCAAGCTGGCCCCCAATGAAAGGGAGACCAAGACTACTACTAATGGGGGCTGAAAAATACCAGGGCTGAAGCTTAAATAACTCCACTTAAAGAAAGCAGAACTTGAAAAACAGGATTGCAACCAAGCATCATTTATAGACTGACCTCTCAAACTTCTCTATTCCCTCCTACCATAAGGAGAATCAGAAAGCATTTCACTGACTCTAAAGCATTAGTAATTATGGTTATTTCAGTAGTACAGGGTTTCATTAAAGAATACTATCTGGACTAGATAAATGAGGTAATGGTAGGGTAGAAAGGATGGAGGAACAGAAGGGCATTCAGACAAAGGGGAGACAAGTGCCCTTCAGGAATGAGTATAGGCCTCAGATCAATTCAATTCTGTTAACATTTGGGCAGATCCTCATTTGTGCAAAACAGTGTGCAAGCATTCAGCGGATTTCCTAGATAGAGACATAAAACAGCCTCTGACCTAATTTCCAAAGCTAATTTTCACTTCATATAATCAACTATGTTACTGAATAATTAAGAATATTCTCTTCATTCATACAGAACAAACTCCAAAACGACTCAAATTAGAAAGACACCCACCAATATACGGCTGAGAAAGAAAATGATTATTGCCTAATTTTTCTCACAATCCTCTCTCTTCTTTAACAGACTTTCAATTCCTTTTGTTTTGTTTTGGAAGGAAGGGTTTCTGGCAGCTAGCCAGTACAAGGATCCAAACCCTTAACCTTGGTGTTATCAACACCATGCTCTAACCAACTGAACAAACGAGCCAGCTCCAATTCCTTTATTACATCTAGGAGAAAGTTTCAGGTTGGTGCCAATGTTTTAAAAATACCTTGCCTCAACAACCACTTACTAATCCCCCTTTTAACAAAGGGAGTGAGGTACATATAGCTTAAGTAGCAGCAGTCCATTAAATTGGGGATAAAAACAAAACTGCACAAGTAAGCATGAGGAACCATTTACTGGAACCTGGAACCGAGAGGGTTTCCTATATCTATACAACAGCGAGAAGGGAGGGTATTATGCTATGCTATAAGAGGTCCTTTCCTCCAGGAACCTAAGAAAGTTCAAGCACATCACTCATATTGTTCAATGAAATATGCAGAAGTGCCCTTTAATAAAACAGGGTGTTTTTTTAAGTTTGGTAAACACAAAGTGGACGGTTCTCAAACTTTTTGGTCTAAAGAGCCCTTTAAACTTTTAAAAATTAAGGACTCCAAAAAGCTTTTGTTTAAGTGAGTAAAAGCTATATTTGCTGTATTAGAAATTAATACTAGGCTGGCCCCATGGCTCACTCGGGAGAGTGTGGTGCTGATAACACCACAGGCCACGGGTTCGGATCCCATATAGGCATGGCCGGTTGCTCACTGGATGAGTGTGGTGCTGATAACACCAAGTCAAGGGTTAAGATCCTCTTACCGTCATCTTTTAAAAAAAAAAGAAATTAAAACTATTTATTAATTCACATAATAAAAATAAATCCACTGCATGTTAGCATAAATGACATATTTTTATGAAAAATATATTTTCAAAAAAATATTTTAGTGAAAAGACTGGCATTGTTTTACATTTTTGCAAATCTCTCTAATGTCTAGCTTAATAGAAGACAACTGTATTCTCACATCTTCTTTAGTATTCAGTCTGTTTCGATATCACATATCATGTAGTCTCTGGAAATCTCCACTCGACACTCATAAGGAAATGAAAGTGAAAAAGGCAAATAGTCTCAGAATTATTATAAAAATAATTTTGGCCTGTGAACCCCCAAAAGGAACCCCTAGGGGTCCCTGGGCCACACTCTAAGAACTGCTGTATTTTTTTTTTTTTTTTTTTTTTTTTTTTTTTTTTTTT